TAATAATATCGATTTTTTTAAACCTTTAGAACACATTACGTGTCTGCCGATAGTCAATTACATGTTGACAGATAATTATAATAACATACACCAATTATATATTTTCCTAGCATCAGTCACACAGTTCTACATTTCTTCAGTATGTTAGATTCTCGGGAAATCGGCCACCCCTCTAGTCCGGCCATTTTATTCAGTCCAGCAGGTAATCGGTTTTACTTAAGAGAAGTTTTACTTTATACGTTTCAAACAAAAGATGAAAAAATTAAGTCGCATGTATAGTACATAAGTGTTCCTGAATGCCTTTCTCAAGAACTTAAATATAAAGATATAAATCAAGATTTCGCCTATTGAGTTTCTGACTATTTTCCTCCGCTTTGTGTAATTGACATATACATGTAGGTAAAGTTTTCGTCCAGTTACCCCTAGACCATTAAAGAAACGTTCCAAAGGGACATTGCCTAGCTGACACCAATAAATTGAAACTTGAAAGAGTTCAAAAATTCGTTTTCTAAGCTTCTAAAGTCTGTAAATATAACAGCTTAACATAAGGATTATATCAATACTTTCCTTGTCCATATTACTGCTTCGCTTTTAGCGTCCTTTGATCAGCATAATTATGGAAAATTCAATCCGCATCTAAAACCATACTCTGAAAAATTAGATACTCCAGGAGGACTTGGAAATCTACTGGATCTTCTGGAGATAAACAAAATGAATCGTATGAAAACTTAAAAAGTCGAAACGTCAATTCAGAAAACTGCGCAGACGTGAACAAAAAGACTGGTACCATTCAATATTAGATGGAATTGACTAAGCCGCTAAAATTGATACAGGGACATTTTTCATCACAGTATTAAAAATAAAAACCTATCAGGTTCATCTTTTATTCAAACTAAGTTATAAAGGAAAAAACAATAATGACGTGTAATTTATGGCATGAATATTATTCTGATCTTCCTCATAAAGAGTACCATTCATATAAATTCGATGAAGATTCTAAACACCTTATAGATGAAACTGTGTAGAAGATCTCTAATGATCTAAAGAGGAGCGATAATTTTTTTTTACGGAAAGGAAAAGCTCCAGGGCCAGATTTTCCTAGTAACGAACACCTAATATACAGTGGTCATTGTATGTCAGAACAACTGTGCTTACTTTTTAATGCTATAATTAGATAAAAATGCGTCCCTGAAATGTTTAAAGTAGAAAAAAATCTATTAATAAATGTAAAACGAAAGATAAATGTATCCCTACCAATCACATAGATATTACATTGACTTCTTTAGTGAATAATTTAATCGAAAAAAAAAATTGTCAAAAATTCATGATAATATTGTTAGAACCGATAAAACATTTTCACATAATGTGTAGAGTTTGGGTTTAGAAATGACTACGGTGCTATTCAAACTTGTTATGTTCTTAAAGAAGCTATTACCAACAATGTAGATAGAGGTTCTCCTGTATTCTGTTCATTTTTTAGATAATGAAAAGCATTTGACAGAATCTCGCAAAATGGTTTATTACCGGTATATAACTTTGTTTGTGTAATCTTTGAATAAACTCCAGATTTTTGCATATTTTAAAGTACTGGTATAATAACAGCAAGTATTTGGTATCATTTTGTGGTGTAAACTCCGATTTTGTTTAAAAATTCCAAAGTGTATGGCAATTAAGAGTGCTGATTGTTGTTATGCTTCGTATGCATATTAATGATTTATCGTATAACGGGTTATTTTAGCAGAGTGCCAAAAACGGCTATCTTGGCGTTTTGTTATACCTTAGTCTGAAAGTGTAGCGTATGCTGGTTTTCTTCTCAAGTCAAACATGATAAGTGACAAATTACTGAGCGAGTTTGTAAAACAAGGTCTTAGATATGTTTGAAAACAATTGTAGCATTTAAATGTATAGTAGTTTAATTTGAAACAATTTTTGGTTGCAAAAATTTTTCAGATATTTAAATATCAGGAAAAAACTCATAGATATGATAATGTATAGAGGTTTGCTCTGACCTATGGAGTCTACCTAAGAAAAAAAGGCCACATTTATCAATTTAGCCCTGTATAGTCCATAGTTCAAAATTCGAGATGCTTGAGAGTGACGGAGAAATTATTGAAAACCCTTGAAATATTCTGGCGAAGTGTCCTTGTACATATGTAAGATGTTGCATGTCTGTTACTTGCAAAATATCTCGCAAGAGAAGAGGGCGGACGGTAACACAATCTTTTTCCACATTTTTTTGTGTGGATAAAACGGGGTGAATATCAGGATTATTAACATTAATAAAATATTTTTAAAAAATTAAGTTTTAATATTGCAGTTTTACAAACTCCTTCAGTATGTTTGTCACTTTTCATGTTTGTCTGGAGAAAAGTGGTAATCCAACTTTAACACATACGAGGGTTTTCCGGTAAAATCGTCGACAAAGCGTTTTTCTCTAATAATAATAGACGCACTAAGCTGAAATTTTAAGAGAATGTTTATCATATTTAAGTGCATTATAATTTATAATAAACGTTTGGATAAGAAAAAAACAAAGATTTTATTATGCTTGAATATGCAAAAAGTAAGGTCCTACGGCGCACGGTCAAAAAACTAAGGTTTTATTAGAGAATACATAAGTATTGATTTGAAATAAAATATTTAAAAAGATAAGATTACGGTACACATTATCCTTATTCGATTCCACAATTTATTTTTTCATCTTTTTCAAGAATGCAAGGCGATTGGTCAATTTTTGGCAGTTCCCTGAGTATTAGAAATGAGAAAGTGGTGAACACAACACGTAAAAATGATGACGTTTGATAACGTTACGGCGCACTTGAAAGCATTTCGCTTTGATTTAGATGGTGTTATAAAGCCCTAAGAAACTTTTAATGAATACAGAAGGAAACCCCCCCCCCCCCAAATTACCAGATCTTTAGTACAGAAATGAAATAGGAGTTTTTGTAGTAAAGTCTTTCTTGATCGAGTCCAGAGATAGTACAAATTATACGGACAAACGGCTATTGTAATAGTAAAAGACGCTATCACTGTTGACCGTCAATATAAGATTGTCTATTATTTGAATGATGGTGGGAATATTGTCTGTAACTTATTAATAAATCCTCAGAAGATCGCACGTTTGTGCCAGATTGGTTTCTTAAATCTTTATGGAGACTAAAGTACGGCATCAATTAAATTTCAAAATTTAAGTTAGGACTTATCCAACTTTATTTTAGCGCAAAAATGAAACGTGACGCTGTTTCAGACACTTTGACGTTATCATCCGTGGGCAATACAATACATAACATTAAATTTCATAACTCATTTATTTATGCATATATCTAATTCATTTGCTATATTTATTCAGAAAATATTTACCAAGAAGTAGTGATAATTTCAGAACGCAGTGATTATTATTATTCACGCGATACAACTCGTTCACGATTTTACCGGACAACCGTCGTAGGTCTCTTTCTAAGCAGGAAATTCTTCAATATAATAGATCGGTTTAGAATATTTTTATTTTCCCAAACAACCGAAATGATTTTGAACTGCCTTATAAATTGAATTCCGAAAACTTCATAAGAATCCTCAAAAACAAAGATTCATAGCGGGTTCCAGTAAATGTTCAACCAAGCCTCTTTCCTTACTTCTCACTAAGATACCAACAGCTTTAAATCTTAGGACTTTTCAACTTTATATTAAACTATTTCCTACGATAAATTAAAGTACAGGCTTTTCGATATCATTGACAGCTGCTTTTTTAATAAAAAAAAGGACTTTTCTTACCTTGTTAGTGATCATTTGCAAATTGATTTTGTCAAAAAAAAAATATTCTGATTATGCACAAAAGTATGCTGAAGTCGATATAAAAAAAATCTTGAATTTCTGATATTTCATTATTTCATGCATTTTACACATCATGCTCCCTGGACTGAAAAAAGTTAAGAAAGTTAGAAAAAACCTATTCTTTATCCTTAATTATATTTTTAATGTATTCAGACCATGCATTTCTGTTGTCAGCTAATTTTTTTTACGTGGATATACATAACATTTTGATTTTTTCTTTTTACCGAACTCAGTAGTTCCATTCCTTGCCAAAACAAATAAAACAATAAAAAATACTTAAATATACAAACATTTTTTATCATATTTACAAAGTCAGTTAATTATGTACATGTAACATAGAAAAATCTCTAACAAACAAAGAATTTTTCGAAAGAATAGTAAGACAAGAAGTAAAGAAACCACAACGCTCACCTCAGTCACTTGACCAATTATTTACATGCTTTCCTATGTACAAATTTGATTGTCTAATGTGTTTTCACCCTTTGACAAGGGCAATGATTAATGAACCGACATATAGAATTTTTCCTTATAAACATGACTTATCATTGGTTTATTGCTGTTGTGGAAAAGGTTCCTATAATCTTTTCCTATAAATTAGTATTTGGGAGGATGTTCACATTTATCGGCTTTACCCTACACCTGTGGCTTTTAAAATTATCCCAAACGAGGAAGCTAACTTTTTTTATAGGACTCAACAAAGTTTGGTGTTCTAGAGAGAAGGAGTTTTGCAAATTAATATATACACTACTTCATGGAAATTTTAATCCGAGATTTATCTTTTCTAGTCAAAAAATTCCTTTAAAAAATCACAATTTTTTTCCTTCATATTTCAAACAAAAATAAATTGGTTTATATTAGACTTATTTTAACCTTGTTTTGAACCCTTAACAATAAAAATAGGCTTAGTAAATTTCCACAAAATTTTCTCTTTTTTTGTGGATCTGTAGCTCTTTAGAAGAAGCTTTTTTAAAGATACCACCCTTTTTTAAGATTTCAGAATCCCATTTGCCCTTTGATACTTTGTTCCATCTTTAAATCAAAATTGATGTCATGCATATGGTTAACGTTGTTGAAAACAAGTTAGTTTTATTAAAAGTATACAGACGGACGAACATTTGATAAAGAATTCTGACCTGTGACGAGAGAGAGAGAGAGAGAGATTTCAAAGCTTATGAATTTGATTTGTTTGGAGAATCAATCATTGACTTCCCCAACCCTGAGTCATTATGTCCGGCATCTTCCTCTTTCTCTTCTTGACCTAGAATAGTTTACAAAAAGTGTTAAAAATAACATAACATATCAATATTCTTTAATAGAAATGTACGTGAACGTACATTTGGCATTGCTCTATAAAGTGCAATTTTACCAACGGGCGAAGCTTTATAGCATTGTTTTCTTATCTAGACCTCTATATGTTGGTGTGATATACCTTGTTAAATATCAAACTATCAAATAAATTAATGTATTGACAATTTACCCGACGTTTCTTTTTCTCTCAATAAAGGTAATGATTCATGACTTCTTTTTACTGAAATCGAAATTTCTATTTCTTATCAATATTGCAACATTCCCAGTGCGTTAAATCTTAAAAATAAAGAAAATTCCATTTTATAAAAAAAATCTTCATTGATAAATTAATCTCTATATGTGTACTCACATTTCAGTAAACCCAAAATATGCGCCCATATCAAAAAGAATTTCTATACATTTATGTGATATACCTTGGTAAACGACAAAGTAAAAAAAAAAATCAATGTATTGATAGCTCACTCGACATTTCTTCTTCTGTAAATAAAGGAGTTGCTACTTGACTTTCTTCTACTAAAATCGAAATATTTATTTCCTATCAAATTGCAACATTTCCAGTTCGTTAAATCTTTAACAAATTCATTCAATTTTTTTTAAAAATCTTAATTGATAAATTCATCACTTTATGTAGTACCTACAATTCAGCAGACTCAAAATACGCGCCATATCAGAAAGAATATCTATATATTTATGTGATATACCTTGTTAAACGGCAAACTATCAAATAAATCAATGTATTGAAAGCTTACTCGACGTTCCTTTTTCTGTCAATAAAGGTAATGATTCATGATTTCTTTTCACTGAAATCGAAATTTCTATTTCTTATCAAAATTGCAACATTTCCGATGCGTTAAATCGTAAAAATAAACAAACAGTTTTTTTTTCTTAATTGTTACGTTAATCTATATATGTGTACTCACATTTCAGCATATCAAAAATAAGCGCCAATATCAAAAAGAATTTCTGTATATTTGTGTGATATACCTTGTTTAACGCCAAACTATCAAATAAATCAATGTATTGACAACTTACTCGTTTCTTCTTTTGTAAATAAAGGAGTTGTTACTTGACTTTCTTCTACTGAAATCAAAATTTATATTTCTTATCAGATTCCATCATTTCCAGTGCGTTAAATCTTTAACAAAATCATTCTTTTTTTTCAAATCTTAATTGATAAATTCATCACTATATGAAGTACCTTCATTTCAGCAGACCCAAAGTAAGCGCCAATATCCAAAAAAAAAAATATCTGTATATTTATGTTATATACCTTGTTAAACGGCAAACTATCAAATAAATCAATGTATTGACAACTTACTTGGCGTTTCTCTTTCTGTCAATGAAGAAGTTGATTCCTGGCCACATTTTACTTAAATAGAAATTTCTATATCTTATTAAAATTCCTATATTTCCAGTGCATTAAATCTTTATGTAACATAAATGTTTTTAATTAATAACTGATTTTTTTCTTTCTTCATTTATCTACGTACATTTCGGTAGAGCCAAAATAAGCGCCAATATCAAACATATGCCAAATACAATCACAATAATGACCCCATGAGATTTTTCTGATCTGCAACAAATAAAAATACGTGTCTTATAAGGCAGTTTTAAGTCTAGTCAGTCGTGAAACGAGAATAACATTTACACAATATACATGTATATATGTTTTTTTTAAATGAAAGTATATCAGGAAAAAAAACTTGTCACTAAAGATGTGAAAAACTTCTCCCACCCCTTTAGAAAATTATCTTGATCAAAGAAAATAGGTTTCTTATTGATAAAGAAAGTTACGACGGCGTATTAGTGCCATTTTAACAATGTAGAATTTTTTTAATCGTTTGTACGATTTAATAAACCGTTTGTACAATTTAATAAATCGTTTGTTCGATTTAATTAATCGTATGTACGATTTATTAAATTGTACAAACGATTTACTAAATTGTACAAACGATTTATTAAATCGTACAAACGATTTAATAAATTGTACAAACGATTTAATAAATTGTACAAACGATTTAACAAACAAATTGTACAAACGATTAGATAAATTGTACAAACGATTTACTAAATTGTACAAACGATTTAATAAATTGTACAAACGATTAAATGAATCGTACAAACGATTTAATAAATTGTACAAACGATTTAACAAACAAATTGTACAAACGATTTATTAAATTGTACAAACGATTTACTAAATTGTACAAACGATTTACTAAACCGTACAAACGATTTATAAAATCGTTCAAACGATTTATTAAATCGTACAAACGATTTACTAAATCGTACAAACGATTTATTAAATCGTACAAACGATTTAAAAAAAAATTTCTACATTGCTAAAATGGCACTAATACGCCGTCGTAGAAAGTAGAGGGACAGAAATATTAAAATAATTTTATCAAACCATGGTGTATTACATGTATCTTTTAATATCCAATACGAAGAACTGAGATGCATGAGATTTACTACATGAGATTAAAAACTTTTTATCGTTGTTTATTATGTATAAATGAAAATTCCCTGCATTTTACCATAATGTACATTGGAAAAACTTGTTTTTCGCTTATCCGTTATATGTGCATGTATTAGAAATCTTAAAAGAGAAATTATTCAAAATTCATGAAGCTTAAACTTATTTTTATTTTTTGTTTATTTGATAATTAAAATATAGAATTCATATTTTTTATTTGAATTAAGATACTTTTAAAAAAGAATAAACGGAAGAAAGAACTATGTGCGGTATATTGCAAATATTTGCCCCTACAAAAGTCAAATTTTGAAACTTCCTGAAATGTGCTGAATTCAATAAATTGTATGAGAAATTTAAATTAATACAAAATATTATAGTGTCAAAGCAGTGTATTCACAAATTCTGTTTTCATGACGTCACAAACTAGGCCGATTTTATATCCTTTTTCAGAAAGAGGACGAACTGGACAAAAATTTAACAATTTTAGCTTTTAAATTTATAGAGCGCAAGTTTGTTCAGGAACAATATTCACATATTTCATTGATATTATCATTCTACACATCATTTCAAAATATTGATCCTGAACACACATGCGCTCGGTGACTTTTACTCAAAATATCGACGAAATGTGTACATTTTTCTGTAAAATTCATAAAAACTGAAATTTATGTCATGTTTGTGACGTCATTACGTAAATATGGCGTATCACTTATGAAAATGTTCAGCGTTTTGAGGTCAGCATATAATCCCCTGTTTAAGAACTTAAATAAATTTTATCTCCATCAAAGTTTGATGGGGGGGGGCAAATATTGGTTATTACCAAATAAAGTTCTTTAGCATTGTTTTCACATGTTTTCAAACAATGATCATAAAATTGAAGACCAAGTACTTACAGGGGTAAGATGTTTTCGGGCAAGGCTTGACCTAAGTCCTGAGGATGAGATTTATTTTTTTCTTTAATTTGGTAACACTCAGCATCTGAAAAAAATATCATCTATCATCTAATTATACAATTTTTTTCAAGATAAACTCGGTGACAAAAGATGCTTTTGATGCAAAAGATCTTTTGAAAATTATGAATTATTATTCAACAAGAAGATGGACATCAGTAACTAATAAAAGTATGATGCCTGAAATCTGATTTTTTTTTCAAAATCTTTATTGAAAAAATCTTCAGTATTCTTTATTTAAATATGCAAAAAATGCAATTAATATACAGCCTAAGTAACTTAAATAAGTATAAGAAAAGAATGACAACAATCTAAATTCATGTCTCCTGGTTCCAAAACTTATTTAATTGAGTGCGGCTCTTAAAGACATATACTAGAAGTCTACCTTTAAAATCGTGACTTCTACTGATTTTACTTGAAAAAGACATTAATGGTAATCTAAAAACCAAGCTCTATGATAAACGTGATGACTTTAACATTACTATCGTCAACTTCTCTTACTTATGCAGCAATATACCTTTATCGCCGGAGTTTTATTTATTATAGGTTGACTCGATACGGAACATACGGAACAGCTTGTTGATGAAACAAGGATATCAGCATTCTCGATACAATGACTTTCTCAGCAAATGCCATTTATCATGGAGTCGAGTGTTGACTGACGTTTTTCATTCTAATTGTTGGTCCATTATATATACACTGAATTGACGAAGTATTTTTTCCATTTTTCACGATCACGACGATGAACACACGGCGTTTGTGACAGTCAGCAGTGAATCCTTAATCCTACATGTCACCTGATCCCACCTCTGACGTTTTGTAGATCCATCTGCTCCTGTTTTCAATTGTTTTATGGACTTTTGATTGTAAATACTGTTTGTTATCTATTTATATTTCATTCATACATGTTTCGTAAGCAAACAATATGCAAGCACGGTGACAGTAAGCTCCTTTGCTAAAAAGCCAAATTGATGAGTACATAGTTAAAAGGACAATTTTCTTATTTGCACACTTCTAAGAACATTGTCAATAATTTTTCTGATGATTTTAGAAAAAAATTTAGATTGAATTGTCTGTTAAAAGAGCGCAGAGTTTCAGGGGACCAATTTTTATTTCATAAATGCTTATCGAAGCATCTTTTTTACGCCTCACTAAGATGACAACAGTTGGGAAGGACAGACTTCAAGAGTTCTGTGAAACAATATATTCGAGATGTGAGGTCATCAGATGTGAATACTTAGAATTTTAAGGAACCTTTGTAAATTTGACATCACAAGATTTTACAGAATCAAGAGCTGTAAATGCACGACTTTTCAACTTTATACACAACCATTCCACCACGGTTAAAACAAGTCCAGGCGTGATAACATCATTGAAAGCTGCTTTTAAAAATACAAATTTTAAACCTACTTACTTTGTCAATGATCATTTGCAAAATTGTTTTATTGAAAACATTTTGATTGAACACTCAAGTACTCTGAATTTGACAACAGAAAATGCTTGTGTTTCTGATTAACATTATATATCTTTGTTACTGTAAGTCGTTTTCATTCCACGGTGTTAAATTTCACAATATACAGTGGCTGGAAGGTTATTGTTGACAAACCAATCGTGTAGAATCGTTCGTGTATCGTGAGCGATCGTTCGTGTAACGCGAAAGATCGTTCGTGTATCAGACTCAATCGTGTGCGTTTTTAATCGTGCAAGATCGTGCGTTTAGAATCGTGTAAATTTCGTTTTGTAAGTTTTTATTGGAATGTTACATGTAAAATGAGCATTTCCCTTGCTTGTTTTTCTTAATTTATTAATTAAAATCCCAATGAAATGAAAAAGCGCAATTTACATAATAGAATGCAGAATGAACTAATTATCGCCCGTAAACAAGCAATATAGTAAGTCGTACGATATTAAGTTCTCGTCAAATAGCGCGATCAATATTGTGATAAACCGTACAGTTTAGATCTTAATCGCCTTATGAAAAATCTTATTTTAATTATTATTTGCTTCTTATTATGGTCAGGATAATCTTGAAATCAATTCATTGAAAATAAATATTTTTTTTACAAAGAAATAAACATTTCTCAATGCCTACATAACTAGCTAGTCAACAAATATACATGTACATGGACACAGCATGATTTTCGGAAGTTTTCATTATCTGTGTTTATCTCTTAAGCCTATTTGTAATTAATTAATTTTAAATTTCTGCAAATGAAAAAGTGTAAAATTGGCAAGTTTATCAGACATTGAATCAATGGAAACATAAGGATAAAATTTGTGTGTAATTATAATTTAAGTCATTCTATGCTGCCATTTTTGTTCAATCGTATCCCCCTTTCTGCATATCATGATATCCTATTCAATCAAATTATACGACCCACATACATGTACATTGTCTAATAGAGCGAACAAAATCCGTTTTTTTTTTTATCGGAGAATTACCTTAGAAATAATTATTTTTAATCTAAAATATCAAGTATTGCATATATTTAGTTACAGAAATATCATTTTCCGTTTTTTCTTCAACGTCTATAAAATAATATTGATAATTCTTTGAAATCTTAAATAAGTAATAAGCCGTATTTCGTTTTGAAATATTGATTCCTAAATGATTTGTACTATTTTGAGTGAAGAATCGTGCGTTTGCGTGAACAATCGTGTAAGATCGTGTAACGTGGAGAATCGTGAACGTGAAAGATCGTTCGTGTAACAGGTTTAATCGTGCGTTAATCGTGCGGAATCGTTCGAGTAACGTGATCGTTCGTGTAAGTTGTTAACAATAACGTTCCAGCCACTGTATCAAAAAGTAGCATTTGCGATGGTTTTAATTTCACGCTGCAAGAAATTAATTCAAAATTTCGAATAAGCATTTAAACGCTATAAAAAAATAAAATTTACGATGGGTTTAATTTCGCGGAACATTAATAAATCGCGAACATGGCGAAATTAAAACCATTGTGAATATTTGCCAATCTACAATATTTGGAAGAACAGGTTTTTCAACAATTTATTGAAATTCCCATGGATACCAGTTGCGCCCAGTTATACGAAGACATATTTCATGCTCATATGAAGAAGCATTTGTCCAAAAATCTTATACTTGAAAAGGAAAACACTTGCTGAGGACTTCAATCCAAGGTATAGATATACATCAGTGACGTATTGTCAATTAACAATGTTTATTTCCATTCTCTTCTCAATCTTATATATTCTGGTGAAATTTAAAAAAAAGATAGTTTATCTAAAAAGCTAATGGTAGCAAGGACATTTATTGTCCTTTATTTTCGCGAAAGGTAGGTGACATTAAATCTCAGTTTGTACGTCAGTAAGAATAAATTTAACTTTGGTCCTCGTGGTCATATATTCTGAATGAGATGATCAAGACAGGGCTTACATATCAAATATGAGCATTGGTATTCACCTGTGAATCACCATTTTAGATACACTATGATTTTCTTGACCATTAATTTTGACCTTTGTTCGAAAACAGTAAATTGATCATTTCTGAGGAGGAAAGATAGTACATACACAATATATTTGTATGTATATTAGCTGTTGTAAGACATTGCCAAATGTACGTATAATAACTTCTGACTCTGATTTCAAAAAAAGTTGTATTACTTGTAAATTTTGATTGAAAAGAAAAACGACTTTCACATTTGACATTACAATCAATGTTTAACGTAATTTTCAAAAACTTAACTTTACAACATGATGATTCGGCTATTGTGTAAGATGAAGAAGATGGGACGTTTTGCATTTAAAACGTTAAAAACGTCATTTTTGCCCCACATTTGACACCCAGTGGAAAATGAAAATTCCCAAACATTACTGCACATTAATATGACACCACCAACCATTTCTCAAAAGATGATTAGCCTACGGTGTAAAATGTAGAAGGAGTTCTGGGTAAAAGGGTTTTTTCGGAAAAAAAAATACCACGTTTTTATACTCCCATTTGACATCCGTGGGAAAATGAAAATTCCCAAACATTACTGCACATCTACATGTCCCAAAAGATTATTAGGCTACTGTGTAAAATCTAAGAGGAACTCAGGAAAAAAAGGAGTTAAAAAAAACGTCTTTTTCGACTTTCATTTGAGCCCCCTTTTGAGTCATTCAAGAGGGGGGGGGGGGGGGGGGGCAAAAGAAAAATTCCAAAACATTACTGCATATCTACATGACACCAGGCCATCAACCATCTCGCTGAAAAAGTTAGGCTACTGTTATAAAAGTAGGAGGAATACACTGAAGAAAGGGCGTTGGACATAAAACAAGAGGCCCAGGGGCCACAGCGCTAACCTGAGCACATCTGGCTTGAATTTACCCCCCCCCTTCCAGGCGTTCATCATTTGAACAAACTAGAATCTACACTACCTGAGGATGATTCCATATAAATACCCCGGGTATCACTATTCATAGCTTTGAAGTACTTGAAAGGAAGATTTAAAAAGGTTTCCCTATATATCCCTATGTAAAACTTGGGTCGGCCCCACAGAATCCCGAGGGCCAGGGGTCATGATTTGAAAAAAACTTGAGTCTACACTACCTGAGGATGGCTTCCCTATCAGTTTCATCTTTCCTGGCCCAGTGGTAATTGAGAAGGATTTTTAAAGATATTTCCTATGAATTCTTATGTAAAACTTGGGTCGGCCATTTTCGGCCCATCCTTGCCTCGGGGGTCATGATTTGAACAAACTTGAATCTACACTACCTAAGGATGATTCCACATGAGTTTCATGTTTCCTAGCCTAGTTCTGGAGAAGAAGATCTTTAAAGATGCTTCCTATATATTCCTATGTAAAACTTGGGTCGGCCATTTTGGCCCCAACCTTGCCCCGGGGGTCATGATTTGAACAAACTTGAATCCATACACTACCTGAGGATGAATCCACATGAGTTTCATCTTTCCTGGCCCAGCGGTTCTGGAGAAGAAGATTTTTAAAAAATGACATTAATTTTTAACAAATTTATGATTATCTCCCCTTGGAAAAGGGCGTGGCCCTTCATTTGTACAAACTTGAATCCCCTCACCCAAGGATACTTTGTGCCAAGTTTGGTTGAAATTGGCCCAGTGGTTCTTGAGAAGAAGATGAAAATGTGAAAAGTTTACGACAACAGACAACGGACAAATTTTGATCAGAAAAGCTCACTTGAGCCTTCGGCTCAGGTGAGCTAAAAAACTTCATTTTTTCGACCCCCATTTGACCCCCCGGGCCAAAATGAAAATTTCCAAAATTACTTCACATCTACATGACACCTACAACCATCTGCGAAAAGATGATTAAGCTTCTGTGTAAAATATAGTAGCAATTCGGGGAAGACGGGGTTTTTTGCATAAAAAAACGTTAATTTTCAACACCCATTTGGAGTAATTAATTAATCTGTTTAATATAATATGAAAACATTCTTATTAAATTCTTATCCTCAGATTTTTTCATGCAATAAGCAGATAATTTTCTTCGTTTGTTTGTTTGGTTTTTTTTTTTGTTTTATATAATTCAAAACAAAACGCTCGGTGTAGGAATGTCAGTATTAATTATCCAGTATCCAGAACTGAAAACAAAGTGTAGCTCTGGGGAATAAAAGTAATTGGCTTGATGAGCATCAAATAGAATAATTTACCTTAAGAGGAGCCTGATATGTAATTTGGGTCATAACTCAAAGACACAAAATGTTACTACAAAGATAGCTCAAGCTTGAATTATAAGAAAATGCACACTCCTTGCATTTTTTCTCAAGGTGCTCTTGTACAAACATACCACCCGAGTTAAACTCCGCACATCTTCTTCCTGCAGTTCAAGTAGAAAAATATCTGGTAACCTTTTAAACAAACAAAACAAAATGTGCGCATTTTTTAAGAAATAGAACGTTGCAGTGATTGCATTCAAAACAAGAGGCCCACGGGCCTTATAGGTCACCTGAGCATTATGCAACAACTTTCCAGTTACAGTGTATTGAATTTGATTCAAGTTTTAAGCCAGATGCTATATGGCATTCACAATTTTGAAAGGGCACCATTGATCATCATGACAATAAACTTAGCAGTTGCTTAGCTTGGTTACTGAATACCCATACGCAGGGTAGGGGACCAAAAATGCACTCCAACTTATCAGTAATATTCAACAATAATCAGTAGTGCCCCTAACACTCTGACATAAACCCCTGACCCTAGGTTGCACAAATTTTTAAAAGGCACCCTTAAAATTGCCTATCAAAAAGTAAATAAATGTTTTATAAATACAAAGGACCATATTTCAAACAATTAATTCATTTTCAGTATATAAGTAGAGCCCCCCCCCCCACTTCTGACCCTGGGGCCTTGAAATTCACAATTCTGCAAGATTCTAAGGGCCCTTGCTCATCATAACTATATAGGTAGTTCATCTGCTTCATATCCAGAGACAGAGAAGAAAATTTTCAAAGATTTAATATATTTTCACTATATAATCAATAGAACCCCACCCTAACACCAGAACCCCAGACCCTGGGACAATGAAATTCATAATTTTAGAAGAGGCATTCTAACTATGCACTTAGTTAGTTTATATAATACCTAGGAGCAGAGAATAAGATTTTCAAGGAAATCACATATTTTCACTATATGATCAATAGAGGCCCCCCCCCCCCCCACACACACACACCTACCAGAACCCTTGACCCTGGGGCCATAAAATTCACAATCTTGGTTGAGGAAAACTTGCTTATCATAACTATGTACATGTA